TTTGGACCGATGAAGGGATTACATTCTTAACACATTATATCAAGGTATTAGCTTCAAGTTATAAAAAGAGACAAAACTGAGGCCATCTATACAAGCAAGTGCTTTTCCCAAGGGCAAATTCTGCCCAAAAATTGATTCACTTGATCTCTATTTGTTAGAGATTAGATAGGGACTAGTTATATTTCTCTGTAAATTCTAATAACATTTTAATAAACTCAACAGGTTTTTATCCTTCCTTCTTATGATGTTGATCGGTTGTGGGCAATTTCAACGATCGATTATGAAATACCAACCAATACCCACCACTAGCAGTTAGGTATTTGGAGACAAGGTATTTTTCAGGGAGAGACATGAATGACTTGGTCTGACCACGAACTTATTTTTTGTCGATATATTTTTTGGGCTCTTTCGCTTATCGTTGTGTTGCTTTTAGTGCCCTTGGCCTTTCTTAAATTGAAGTATAGTGGGACTCTTCAATCTTTTTTGAGGTTCTCTAGCCTTCGTGTGTGAAAAGAGACACTCAAGCCGTTGTGCTTTTTAAACATATGTAGTCGGCAAAATTTGAAGCATAACGAATACAATGATACGTTTCTGCTGTTTTATAATACATTCGGCAATTTTGAAAATGATAATTTAAAAAAGTCGTCTTTGTAAGTAACTGATTGTCATAATGAAACTAGTAATAACAAATCTTTTCCTGCTAGTATAGTTTTAATTTAGAGGAATTTTCTCCATTAGATATTTGCTGTTTATCGCCGTTTTAATTGAATTGTGTGGGTGTTGTAGCAAATCGCATATTAAAAATTGCTTAAGCTATTTAAAAACTCGTGTCTTCAAAAAACTTTAAAAACTTTATTGGTAACTTTGAAAGAAGTTATACTAAGCTTGCAAAAAGCCCTTATACTTCTATATATGCGCACTTGAATATACCTTGGATCCAACAACTTGCTATAACAATACATTCTCTATTTTCAACTGTGAAATTTGTCACTTACCTTGTAAGATTTCATGATTTTAGGTCATGGATGATTTTCTACCTATATTAAATTTTATTATATATTAGACAGTCCTACAGTAAAAAGCATACACCGACTATTCAAAAATTACTCGAACAAACTCGTAGGAAAACTGTTTACTAAAAATTGACAGGCATGAAGCATTTCAAATAAACGACAATAATATTCATATTTTGAAATTGCCCATAGCGCGAATTTTTTATTCTCTTAAATAAAAGTTTTCTTTAAACTGTGTTGGTTTTTTAACATCATTCTCTCCATATTTACCTTTAGAACTAATGAAGCGTTTATAATATGCAAATAAAAAGATAGTCATACAGTTTTAGGAAAACTCGAATTAAAGAGAATAAGAATTTCGTGTCATTGGCACTTTAAGTGCAAACATATTTTGACTTAACTATGTGTCATCTTCAGGAAGAAACATTAATTACAGCGTGAAATATATACAGGTAGAAATATAGTATCGGCGTGGTAATATACTAGTTAATTAAAAGATTAGTTTTTAGCCAAATATGATGTATATAGTGACTGCGTTGAGTAGGGTTAAAGATTGCATTTGTTTGTATATACTTTTTCTGTGCTTTTAGAGTTTTTGCTTCCTTTATTGTGAAAGTTGATGATGCGTTTAGTGAGTTATGTTGGGGAATAATTGCGTTGATGTGTGTTTGTACGTTCGTTAGAATCGTTCTTGAGGCCGTGTTTTTTGTATCAATATAATTTTGTAAATTTGATGAAGAATTGTTTTATGAGAAACGATTTGTATCGACTTTATGCTCATAAGACCATGACTCATGATGACTGTGCTAATAATGTACTCTGGTTGCTGACAAACTGCACGGATATAATTATTTAGCACTGGAGTTTAATTTATGCATGTTTTAACTGACGCGTAATTTGACGCGCAATATTCATTGGGATAAAAAGGATTTGAGTCTATAGTGCAGCTGACAGTTACCACATGCTAACCTGGGCGAAAGCTTCATCATTGTATTATTTTATTATATCGGCTAACCTGTATTGAAATTAATGTAGATCGTGAGGACCCGGCAAAGAAGTGAGTTCATGTATTTTCGTTTGGTATACTGTTAAACTGCACATTTGTTATTTATACTATATCATTATTTACTAGATCGAATAAAAATCATTTACTTATATTATACGATTCCGACTCACGCATCTACCGGACTGCTAACCTGAGAATCCATACTCAACCATTCGAGCTGAGTCAGGTGACTATGGTGTCCCATCGTTATGATTTATAACCTTTCGACAAATTATATATAGATACAAAAGAAATACAAACGTACGAAACAAGGAAAGTTATAAATTAATAAAAGTAAATAAATCTAATACAAAAGCTAAAAAAATTATATTCCGTGTTAAAAGTTTGAGTTTTAAATTTCATTTTGAATTTTCAATGTTTACAACCGGCATACGGAGAGAAACGTTCTTGATTTTTTGACAAGAGACTTTGCACGATGTTCTTTACTTTCGTTACTTTAGGTCTTCAATTGGAAAAATCTGTGATTTTGTTATCAACTACATAAGTTACAACACAGTTGAGAAGTTGATCCTGCATTTCAAGCTAAAAAAAAACAAAGAGCAAGCAGAACCTCTTGGATACCATCTCAGTATGAACAAAAAAAAATTGAAAAACACGGACTTACTAACAGACGTCTTTTTTACGATGCAATGGCTCTTCGCGATGAAGATGTCTTGCAAAGACGAAAAGCGAACGGAAAAGATATGAGAAAAAGAGGCCCACTTGGAATTCTCACTTCTATAGCTGCCTCGACTTAAATGAAATTATATCGATACTTCTCTCTGATTTAAATAACCTTATTCAGTTTGTCTTATCACTTTTTATGGGGCAAGCTAGGGTTGAGATTATGTTAATATTACTCGTTATGATGTTTCATTATATTGGTATCATGGAACCACTTGATACCATTTTGCTAAAGTAATCTCTAATTTGTCTCATAAATGTAGGAATTTTCATTAAGCTAATGGGATTTATGAGGGAAACTTTCCCTATTTCCATGTATAGATAGCAAGATATCTTCAGTGGATGTTCCCCAAGAAATATGGATATCTAATTCAAACCCCAAAGATTGTAGGTCAACGTTACTTGGAATTCTTACAAAACAAGAAAGATTGGATTGCTGATTTCCATACCGCATGTATAGAGCAGCAGCTCTTCAAAAGTTAAGCAACTTACTTGACCTTGCATCTTACTCGGTTTTTCCGGTCAACTCGGCCCACTCACTAACTCAACCCATTTGAAAGTGCATGCATTGGCAAAGCACCCGTGAGAGTGCTATTAGCTTAATCTTCATGAACCAATTTGTTCGAAGAAAAATAGGAAAAGCCGTGATCATCAATATACGGTATTGATAAATGTCTTCACTGGACCATCTCACACCTAAAGTATGATATTGTCCATCCCACACCCAAACAAATTACGCAATTTAAATTCATATTGATGCAGGCAATGTACATAAATATGCATGACAGGCGATACGCATAACGACAAAAACGAATCGCATAGCGTTTTCAAGTTCTTCATTCTTAGCAACAGTGGCAGACACTAGGGCGCGAGCCCCTTCCCTCTATTAAAATTTTGCAGGAAATACCACAACAAATAAGACTTTTATAACGTAACTGTCATATTAGATAATGACTATTTGATACACGTCTGTATTATACACGTCCCAGCATGCAATTTAAACCTTCTTGACTTTTGTAAATATGAGTATCCTTCCATAACCTCACTAGAAATTTAATGCTTTAAGAACGAGCCCCTCATCCTCCCTTCAATATTACATAAAGTGTACACCACTGCTTATCAACAACATCTACCTTTATACTCGACTAGGGACTGAAATAAGTGCCCTATTTTCTGAATTCTGATGAATTCGACATTTCACTATTGTGTTACTTGTGTATAGTGTATTAGTAAGTGGTAGCAGCGTGCACTGTATACCATCAGTGGTTATGCCATATAGACTAGTGCATATAACAACTAAAAACTCGAGAAACACATGCGTATTTGCGTATTGGTTAACCATTAACTTATTTACTCGTTTGAGCGCCGCAGCGCTTTTAAAATTTTTTGAGCTTTAGATGTAGTGCTCATTCGGTGGTGGCGATGTTTCAATTGTACGTTATTTATAAGAAAATAAATTTCTTAGGTGGATTCAAGATTTGTATTGACATCCTCAACAATTTTGATGCTGTGTCGATTAACCGTGCTTTTGAAGATAATAAGTGCGGCACTCAATGGTTATTATCATCAGTAATGTATTGTTTAAGAAGGTTTCAGTGAGGTTATAGGGTTTAAAATTTCAAAATTTAATGGCAAATTTTTGATAAGTAAAAGTAATTTTAAGAACTATGTGTAAGATTTATGGAATGTATGTTTGAAACATTTACTGTGACGTGTGTTGTCAATTTTAAGTGCGAAGAGGTTTTTTACACGTAAAATGTATCTACACAATTTGAATTGCTCTGCATTTAAATTAAGATAGCTTATGCGTTTAAGAGAAATCATGAGTTTTGTTTTCCAATGTCCGCCTCAATGTCCCCCTCCGAGAGGAAGTCAAGATCAAAGATTAGGGGAAATATATCATTTATTTTATGTCATGTGAATACAAATAAGCCAATCACTTTTAACTTACGCAGCACCTGTATAACAAGTTTTACTTCTGCTAGCCAATCTTCATTGGATCCAGTGATTGGATTGTTTCATTTTTACATTGAATATGCTGGACATTGAAGCTGATTTCTTTTGGGAAAAGGAAAGAGCTCCATGTATTGTAACTTTTTGGGGGACGATATTAATAACATATATATACCTAAAGAACCGCTAACATGGTGACATCATCAGCTACAAATGCAACTGCACTGTCTGAACATAAACTCTTATCAATTATTGTTTTTTTTGCATTAATCATTTATACTATATTCTTGAAGGGAAAGTATGACATTTATAGTTTTCAGTAAGCACCCTTAACACTATGTGATTATATTTTATTGTATTGTTAGTTTCAAATGTTAAATTTTAACAGTGGAAAAAACATAATATGGCCGACTGGTGCAGAGGATAATTATTTATGTGTACATGAATATGAATATATATATCAAGAAAATACGTTCCTGAATCATAAAGTAATGGTAATTTTTTAATTAATTCAAAATCTTTCGTTATACAGTAATTTTGCATTTCCTTCTTCATCTTTCTCGAATCCATCCTTCAACTGATCATCTTTGACGCTAGCCCAAGCCATTAGGGGAGTAGAAAATGCCTTTCCAAAATTTCCGTTTTTGTCAATCGCAATAGCTCCTCCATGTCCCTTCAGTTTTTCTGTAAGTAATTTTACAGCTTCTTCCGTTGCTTCCTTTTGTAAAAGAAATACAATCTCTCTTAAATTCTGTCATACATATGTACAGTTACATTTAAGTCAATAAAATTACGTGACATTGCGTGACAATAAAATTGTGTGACATGTACAGTTACATTTAAGTCAATAAATTGCATGACATTGCGTGACAATAAAATTGTGTGACATGTACAGTTACATTAAAGTCAATAAAATTACGTGACATTGCGTGACAATAAAATTGCGGGACATGTACAGTTACATTTTAGATTATAAAATTGCAATAGAACTAGTTCGCACAGTTCCAAATGTAAGTCACATAATTTTGTCAACATCATTAGCTTTTGGAATTTACTATGTAATTCTTCAAAGCTAACCCGTAAATCTCAACAATTTCTGAACGTAGAAATAAATTATCGATTTTTCACCCTACCTGGGCATTTCTTCCATTTTCCATTTCAATGACAACTTGACGTGCTAGAGTTAATTTTATCAACTTCTCTCCATGACCAGTTGTTGCAGCTGCTCCTTTATCATTTGCATATCCTCCACAACCAACTAATGCGGCACCACTAACACGACCTTTACGTTTCCCTGCGATACCTCCTATATCGATATTTGGTTAGGAGACTCCTTCTCATTTAAACATGTTATAATTCATAAAAAACAATAGATTTAAAAGAATGTCATTTACATATTAATATATTGATCTTTCTTCACCTATGAACACATGAAAAAATGCAACCTGTCTTAGTTATTCATTACTTGTTGATGTGGCACACGCCAAGTTGCCTTTTTTATCAATTGCAACAGCACATGCAGTATCCGCATTATCGCTATTTTCTTTGCCCCATGCATCATCTTTATTTTCACTGCCCCACTCAGGAATATGTTTTCCCTCATAGAAAAAGTTCACACGGTCATTAAAACGCTCGTGAGGAATATGCTTTCGCATTTTGTCTTCTGTTATTAATTCATTCGGTTCACAACAAGGAAATTTGATACTTATTGCAAAATCCAACGCACCATCACCACTAAGGGCACAGTGTGGTGTTTTTTCCAAAATTTTTCTTGAAAGGCAAACTGGATTTATAAAATATCGGCCTGAGATTACTGTACCTACAACACATAGGAAAACTTAAGAAACTTTCTTGTTTGATGGCTAATGCTATAGACATTACCTGGCTTTATTGTACTTATTGCATTCAAAGATCCACGACCTGCCTCAAATAACTCACTATTCTCCATAATACTAACTGATTTTTCAACAGCTTCAACAGCATTGCCACCATTCTGAGTTAACAGAAAAGTTTGTTGTAAATCAATACACTTAACTTATATTTCTGCTAAGAACAATGGAAATTTTTGAAGAGTTTTTTTATCCTTCACACTATGTCTCATACACGTACCTTCAACACACAATAACCTGCCTTTGCTGCATCCTTTATTGTGTTGATATAATCATCCTTACTTAAAAGACGATGTTTAAGCTCGCTTTTGGCTCCTCCAGTGATAATAATACCAACTCTGTGATTGTCGTCTTTAAATATAAAGGATCATATGTTTATTATTTATGAATAATTTCTGCGTTATTTTACTATGTAGTTACCTGCCATGTACTGTGCCATAACTCTGTATACGATATGAGCAAATCCTCCAGAATTTAAACACTATTCCAAGCTAGCTTAAAGAGAAAAATATCCTTTAGACTATTCAGTTGCAGGCAAAAACAACATATTTTTCTTTAGCTCAAACTTTCACTAACAGCTTGTGTGACTTCCTGCGCTGTACGTTGCAATTACTTTAATAAATTTAAAGTTTCCTTGAAAAATTTAATTAATGTCATACAAAAAATTCATAATTTAACTTTGGAAAGAATATTGGCATTTTCGAAGGAACGTCGAAACAAATGGAAAGGAAAATAGAATTGAATGCAACATGCAAGTATCTAGGACAAAGAAGTGATGACAATTAGCGTTAGATCATTTACTGGGACTTAGGACTGTTTTAAACGTCGCATTTAACATGAGCCAAATGTATTTAAAACAAAAGATAATGAGGAATTTTATCTCATTTTCTTTTGTTTTAATTACATTTAGCTCATGTAAAATGCGACGTTGTGCAACAAGAGCCAAAGATTTGATGCTTTTTTGGAGCCTGAGTTGCATGTAGTCAGAACAAAGACTTCGGCAGTGAAATTTTCGTAAACGTTTAAAGGAAGTAAATGTCCAAACTCCAACAAAAATACGGCAAACGTACGAAGTTATTGATGTTAGAAAAGTAAATATTTTTACAGAAACAGAGTGTTTTATCTATGACCGATGACATGATGCCTTATTGTATAAAACTAGATTATGCAAAGTGACATTTTTTTACTTAAATTGATTCTAGAGACAAACTGCAGTTTCTCATCGAAGTAAAACCTTAACTTTATTCGAAGCAAAGTTGCTGATTTAGTTCTTACAAGACGAGTTAATATTGGTACCACCAAAAGAAAACGAATGACAGTTACACCTTTGGCAGTAACTTCTTCGTCATGCCTCCATCCTAAATGACATCTATATATAAGCAATTTTTTCGCTTGAGTTTTTCAAGACGGAGCTGCAGTTATTTAGGCCAGAGTTAAATCCGGAGGTAAACCTCCGGAGTCTTTAAAGCAGTAAACGGCGAATTATTATTGGCAAGCATATTCCGAGAGAAAGAAATAGCAGGTGCCATATTATAAACTAAGTATTAATGACTTTGCTGAGCACTATCAGGCAATTCTATGCACTATATATCCATGGATGCACTTCTCATTCGTTACAATATAGGTGAAAGAACCATTACATTTTCTAGAAATTGTGGCACTATTCGCACTTAAGCAATAGATTATCGCACGTAAGTAAAAGATTAAAATAACTTCATATAACTTTGATGACTAAAGTTGTCAGAAAAAATCACCTGTCTATGTCCCGTAAATGGGAAAGCGAAAGTAAGTCTTTTATTTCAAAGCTAAGGTACGTGACAACATTTTTGCAAGACTGAACAATAGTGATAAGGACTTTGAGCCTTCTAAGTTTTTAACCGCTTCTAACATTTTTTATAACATTTTTTATGCGTATGTGAGGTATCGGTTGTTTGTCAGTGTTTAAACCTTACTCATGAAACCGTTGTATTACTGGAACAATTATATAAAGAATAACGACGTCGTAATATACAGTATCCACTTGTTTTTGTGTGTTGAGCATTGTCACATTTACACTCAAGATTGTTGAAAAATGCGGCATTTATACTTATTTAGATGAACACGTATTCATTTACTTTCTAATAATCGACGCTTAATGACGTCTGTCTTCATCAAAATATGTCAAATACCATTCAAACATAAACTTAAACTTTACTTACTTTAACAGAAAGATAGCAGATCCTATTCACGTTTGTATAAATGTTAGATTAAAATGCTTCGATTCTAGCAATCGTGTCTAATCAAACAGCAGGAGATACTCTTTATCGAGGGTTTGAAGTCAACGCTTTAGTTTTTATTTTATATGTTTTCTAATAATTATTAACACCAATAAATGCTTAACGCAATACTACAAGGCTTTCAAGTCGAAGGGAAGTAAAGTCAACCGTTTCAGAAAATACAAGGGAATGATTTGCAACACATCTCTATCTGTCCACAACAACGGTTGTCAAGACGACGACTGTCAGTACAGTAAAAAAAGGCTTTACCACACTGTAAATTTTAAGGTGTTAATTTAACACTAAAAAGTCGTGTTAAATTAAAAGGTACAGAATAACACCATTTCGGGTGTTATTTTCTTACTGGTGTTAAATTAACACCGAGTTTGGGGCTAAAATAGCGCCTATTCTTGGTGTTATTATAGCACTTGTTAAAGTGCTAATTTATAACGTCCGGTGTCAAAATGACACTTAAATTCGGTGTTATTTTGTAACCCTTTTCTTATTGTTTTATGTAAGGCCAGTTAAACACGCGACACAAAATGCTAAGCATTAAATATATTTAAAAAAATCAAATGATTTATATGCATGTATTCACACATATAAATATATACAAAACATAAAACATACTATAAACAAGTCAATATATGAAACAAGTAAAGTTAAATGTATATATATATAACTAAATATATAAAACATCTTAGAAATACTACTATATTATAATCTCTAAAGCCCCAAACTTTTCACAAATTTTTGAACTGAAACCCTTTTCTTTGCATTTGCGGGCTTACCCATCAAAACTACTTCCAAAAGGCACAAATGTTACAGGCCTTTGGTGTATACTCCATATTAAGTACATAAAATGTACCTAGAAGTAGTACTATAGACAATGAAATTTCTATATTTTTTTTGACAGATTTAAAAAAATTTGCCCTTCGGTAGCAATTAGAAGGGGTCCAGACCCCCTAATTCTCCCGATCCAATTAGTCGTGGGTAGGTGGTGTTTGCTATTTCATCATCAAAAGAGTCATCTTCCTAAACAACAGCATAAACATAAACACAATTAGAATTATTAGGTCATTGAAAGTGAGACACAATATTGTCATGTCATGACAGTAATATAATTGTATTTTTATTAAAGCATACATAAAATTTTATCCATGCAGTTTTTATATAGTTTCGATATCTATTACTTACGCAGCAGATCTTGAAAACTAAGCAATTTGCCGTGGATTTTCATTCAACACAACCTGAATAATCAATGCTGTAACTGCACTCCTTATATCTGCAAAATATACAACCAGCTGATTAATATTTACAGTATACGCATTTTGCCATTGTAGATTTAAGTGCTCATGCTTTAAGATGAAACTCTACAGTGGTGGATCGAGCATAGAGTTTTTAGGGGGCTTGGTTTTGTGAGCAACTAAAATCCGAATGTTAGAAACAAATAAATTCGCTAAATATTTTATATATAATAATAGTAAATGTTCAGCGTTAATTAAAACTTAAAAGTCATGAAAAATGCCATTTTTTATCCCTCTATGCACCACGCTGTTGACGAGAGCTTAGAGAAGTGAGTACCCTGTGCACCCCTCCCATAAATCCACCGCTGGAACTCTGTAAATGGACAGACTTAATTGAATACACATACCAGCTTCCTTATTAGGTTTTTGCAACAGCATGGCCTCCATGTCTGACATCAATATTTTTATGTGTTTGTTGTCACTATTGCCTGCCCATTTTATTACATTTTGAACCATATTATTGTAATGGATAACCATGTTGCTGGCTGCATTTTGGTCTGCCAAAATTCGACCAAATTCTGCTTTTACCTATTCCAGTTGCAAAATACAAGTTACAAAAAGCAAGTTTACTGCAAAGATGTCAACTACAACTGGTAAAATTAGCTGCCCCATGATTTTGAGGATAGTTCTATGCAATAGTTCTGCTCAAAAAATATTTATTCTTACCTCTGAAACAAGCTGAAGAGCTGGATACTCAGTCAGTAGCTCATTCAACACTTTTGGTTCATTTATAAATTGTTGGCGCCGGTAGGGGTAGGTCAACTCCATGAGCTCTTTAATTAGTCTATATCTTTTGTTTGTTTTCGTCATCTCGGTTACCATGGCTTTTTTTATGTTCTTCGCACGTTTCTGCAGTCTCACCATTATCCATATCATAAACATCATACAGCTTACGTCTTTTCATTTGTGCTTCTGGCTGCTTTTGTGTAGTTTGAGACACACAAACAGATCTTGTTGTTGAATTTGTCTTCTTTCTACGCATGTTTTTTGAATCGATTAGTGATTGCTTTCAACCATGACCCCTGTAACGAAGAAAGTTCATGCTGTACATTATAAGAGATAGCGAGCAAAGCTATAGGATTTCTTCTAAAGATTATCATATGCATTAAATAATATGAATATGACTTACTGTACCAGCTCCAAGTGAATCGACAAGAAAAGTATATTTTTCTACAATCATGGACGCCACTCTTTGTTTTTCTTCTCTGGATGGAAACATTGTATGAGCTTTAATAGAAGAACAAATGTCCCTAGTAAACTCATCCCTAAGGTTTCCATTAAGTTTTCCTGCTTGCAGTGCTTCATTCACTCTTGGAGAAAACTGTAAAATACAAAAGATAAATTTTAACATCAGAATGTGACCTATTATGAGGTATATTATTTAACATACAGAAATAGGAAGTTTAAAATCTTTTATCCAGTTCTTGTTCGGTTTCCTTTCTTCCACAAGTACAAAGCTTGGTGAAGGTTGATCACTCTTTTCAGATGCTATGGTATGTCGAGGTGTACTGGATGTTGTAGGTGACGGTGTGCCTGTTGACAAATGAGCTTCTTCAATTGACGCTGAAGAATTGCTGACATTGTCATTTATGGCAAAGGAATGACTAGTGGATAAAGCGATCTTCTGGGTGGATGGTTCAATGGTGGATGGAACATTTCTTAATGGTAGAAACTTGTCCAAGTTGTTAATCGTTGCCAATGCATTTTGATTCGTATAACTTGCCCTCCTTTTATGCCACATGCCTTCAACAGCTCATCAGATGTATTGTTTAAAATACCAGCTGAATCAAACTATTCAAGTACAAAAAATCAAAATTAAATTAAAAAGATATATATATGTTAATGACTGAGCGAGAGGTTCGTACAGGAGGATACTGGTCGAGTTGTTTTTTCGCTTCAAGCGAAAAAAGAACAGCCATTTGATGTTTGGATTGGGCTTTGACCAATCAGAACGCGCGTGAAATAAATGTAAAATGTTTTCCAGAGGTCCCAAACGGCCAGAGGCCAAAGGCCGTTTTATGTCGAGAGGAACTATTTTTCTATTCGGACCGAAATATAAACGGTAAATAACGTATTTATTTCTTGTCAAGCGGTTATGGCCGTTGTGCCATAATGTAATCTTGAATTTCATGCGTAAAACTTTCGTCCCTTTCATCCATGTTTACGTTTTCTGCTATATTTTCGCTAACATTTTCCACGATATTTCCAAGCTCGTCGGCATAGTAAAACTCGCTTTCCGAGTGAGAACTATCATTCAAAGCCATTGTTAAAAACGTTTTCCAAATAACTTTTTTAAATTACTAAAACAGCTTAATTTATTGGCTTTAACATTTGCCAGGATTCCGCGGACCGGAGTAAAAAAAATGAAGTAATTTATTCGAACATCAACTTAGCATGCTGCAATAATATTGATTTGGTATTTTTACTTATAGTCTAATGTAGTTTGGAGCCACAGCAGTTGAACTTTCACTCATAATGCTTGACGTCTTAGATTACTTAGTCATTTTTTATCTTTACATTTTATTTCCCTCAATAATTTTCCCCACTAAATTCAAGTATTGTTTTTTCGGTATGGAGTCCATATTTACCAAGCAGTGTTAACAAAAGCAACAAAAAGTCGTCTAGTCACAACGTCAACACGCAAAAATTCATGCACTCGTGCTAAATTTAATTTTATACACATACCTCTTCATCTTCAAGAATAGAAATTACACTGTCCTTTACCCCTGCCTTCTTAAGATTATCAAGCAACGTGGAATCCATCCGACCTTAAACGTATAAAAATTTGTACAACACAAATACAAAAATTTCCACATGAAATATAAGCACGAGGAGAAGTATGTGTCACAAGAAATTTCATAAGAAAATACATTCTAAAAAGCTTTGTATTTACCTTTTTAAAAGAAGGGAGAACGTCGAAAGCAAATAACTTAAATCCAATGGCTCTGTTAGCCTGGTAATATTGACTTTTACGTTTAGTTCACAATAAAATATAATTTGACAACGCTGCACAAACAGATGAAATCACGATGAAAATCATGAAATGAAATATGAGACAGTGTGGCAGTGACAGTTGGCTATAAGCATTTTACCGCGTTTTTGCATATAGTCGCTAATATCACATTTCACACCATATATGGTAACAGAGTTGAGCCGGCACTCTCTTCAGAAGTGAATTGTATTCTTGAAGTGAATTATGTCATGGAGCGTCTATATCGATGTAATATTTGCCTAGAATTCGTTTCAGATTCTCTTCAATTACTAATAACACATATTGGCCGTGTTCATCGTGATGAACCAAATTTTCATGTTGTTTGTGGCATCGATGGTTGTGCCAGGACGTTTAAGAAATTTTTATCATTGAGAAATCACCTTATTCGAAAACATAACATCGTGCGCAATACGAGGAACAGCGCAGAGTTGAATACTGATAGGGAAACGACGATGCTAATCAAAATCATGAGATTGATAATACAGACCCTGAACAGGGAGAAGAGTTTGACATTATGGCTGACCAGGACAATTTATCTAGAGCGAATGCTTTATGTTTGTTAAATTTCAAAGACAGAGGACGTGTACCTCAAACTGTTGTTGATTCCTTCGTTGAGAATGCTACGAAGGTTACTCAAACAAGCATTAACCTTTTAAATTCTGGTATAACTAGCTGCCTTAAAACGCTGGGATTGACTTAAACAACCTACCAGAGGTGAATGAGTTATTTGATGAAGACAACCCAATCTCAAATCCTTTTGCTGGTATTGACCAAGAGTATCTCCAATATGAATACTACAAGAAGGAGTTTAATCTTGTGGTAAGTTGTAAAATTGGTTTAGAAATTTATAAAAAAAGTAATCAAAATTTTACAATCAATATTTCACTTTTTAGGAACCACAAAAGATTGTTCTTGGAAAATACCACACAAAGAAAAGAAGAGGAAATAGATTGAGAGATGTCGAAAAAACAGATGATGCATACTATATTCCCTTGTTGGAAAGTCTGCAACAGCTTCTTAATGATGAGTCAATTCTTAACGAGGTTTGTGTTGATTACATGTGCATGTGATGTATGTATATAATTGTCCATTGAACACAATGCTGAATATAGAAAATTTTAATATTACCATTGCCTTAGCTTTGTTCTGCACATGACAGTATCCGATCCAATTTTGTGTAGGTGGAAAATCCTCATTTTTGCAACAGTGATTTTTTGTCTGATTATTGTGATGGTGAAGGCTTTAAAGAGCACCCACTATTCAGTAAAGATCCCTTGGCATTGCAACTTCTTATTTATTTTGATGAAGTAGAAGTTTGTAACCCATTAGGATCAAGAGCTAACAAACATAAATTAGGTTAGTACCATAATTTAATTTAATGTGCTGTAATTCCCATACTGTAGGTTTAAAATGTCTATTTCATTAAATTTTCCGGTTACCTTTTGCATTTCATATAGCCGCTTTTATTATACATTGGGCAATATACGCCGAACACGGTCTCACCTCAATTCCATTCAACTACTTGGACTAGTGTCTAGTAAGCATCTCAAGATATATGGTGTGGAACCTGTGCTAAGAGCATTTCTTAGAGACCTTCAAAAATTAGAACAGGTATTGGACTAGTGTTGATGCATGTTTTTCATGTTTTGTTCTTTTAAGAACTCTAATAAATTAAGGAATAAATTAACTTTTTAGGTTGGTGGCTATGAGTTTATAATAAATAATCAGCGAAGATGCTTTGCAGGAACAATTGCATTTATATCTGGAGATAATCTTGGTTCACAATATCTTGGTGGGTTTAAGCAAGGATCACAGTCTTACAGAAAATGCAGAGTCTGTATGGGAAATGCTACAGAAATAACTGAAATGGTATATATAATGTAGCTACAGTAATGCTTAATTGACACTTGCCACTGCATCTATTGCATGGTTTATGCTTTCTCCATAGTATGTAAACTTTGAAAAATAAAAAGTACTTAGTTCATATAAAAGTGCTTTACTTCAGACAATGTGTTGGTTTAATTAATTTAAATGGTTTCAGTGCTAGATACTGTTTGTGTTTAGGGTGACTTAATTTAACTTATTTGTTTAGTTTCATGAGGATGACTTTGTTTTGAACAGTGCAAGGTTACAATGAGCAGTGTCAAAACTGGACCAAGGAGAGCATTTCAAAAACTTATGGCCTGAATCAGTTTTCTTTACTTAACAACTCAAAGTACTATCATGTCATTGGAGGACTCCCCCCAGATGCTATGCATGATATACTGGAAGGTGTGCTACAATACATTGTTAAAGAATTATTAAAAGAATTCATCTTTGAAAAGAGATACTTCAAACTAGACGACCTTAATAAAAGGATGCAGGCATTTGATTTTGGTTATCATAATGATACCAATAAACCTGCTCCAATTCAAGCCCAAAGACTTCTTTCATCAGACAATAGTTTAAAGCAGCACGGTACAGTAATGTCCTTTCCACTATTTTAAAATCCTTAAATTCTATATAGATCTATATACAGTATGTAACTATTTGATACCATAAGGTATTCTAAGGTCAGGGATCCCTAAAATGAAGTAATAAGCACACGTTCCCTCAGGAAGATAATTTGTGACGCTTTTCCGTCCTATTAGCAAATCAGATGTGGTGTCTTGGCCTACATTTGCCATTTCTTATTGGTGACCTTATAGAAGTAGATGATCAGCACTGGGGGTTACTCTGTACCTTACTTCAAATTGTTCGTATAAGTTTTACTCCAATTGTGAGCAGAGAGCAAGTTTCATATCTTCAAATACTCATTCAAAAGTTATTACAAAATTTTAAAGAATTGTTTCCAGAATGCAGTATCATTCCAAAGATGCACTACATGGTTCATATGCCAAGAGCAATACTTCAGTAAGTTTAGAATTCTGATTTACAATTACAAACCATGTGGCTTCAAAAACCTGCAGTTTTCAAAACTAATTTACAATTCTTTCTTGTATTCTGTATCAATTAACAGATTTGGGCCTCTTGTGCGAAGTTGGTGCATGCGCTGAAGCAAAACACCATTACTTTAAGAGGTTGGCAATAGTGATTGGTAATTTTATAAACCTACCATACTCGTTGGCAAAGAGGCACCAAGAAGGAGTTTGTTATCGCCTACAGTCTGCTGAAGGTGGAAATAGCACGTTTATTTGCAAAGGCACTGAAATTGGGCCAGGTGCATTTCTTAATGATTTCTTTCATTCAGATACAATATATAGTTATAGCTCAATGGTGCATCCATTATCCTGAGTTGGTTTTATTTTTATGTAAGCTACAGCTACAGTAATTAGAGAAACTTATGTTCGTCTTTTTGAAGGTAAAACATTATATGTTGGTGATGTTGAAGAGAGTGGGCTCATTCAAACAGAATCTCCTGAAGTGAACAGACAAACACCATTGTATAGGTAAGTCAGATTGATGTAATTAGTCGAGTGACTGAAATATCTTCATTGTGAATGATGAAATTGCTTGAAATTGCTCTTTATTTACTTGCTTTTCAGTAAAGTTTATGTACACAATTAATTGCTGTGAACTAAATAATATTAATATTTTTCCTATTATAATTTTAGTACCAAATGGATTACTATCAATGGAACAAAATATAAAGTAGGAGCTACTGTCCACATTGGTTATGATTATGTTGAATTTCCCCAGTTTTGGGAAGTTATTGGTATTTATATCATTAACCAAAATGTTGCAAATGCCATGTTTGTTGTTTCAAGAAAACAGACTGTCAGGTTTTCTGAACATTATCAGGCTTATGAAGTTGCTCAGTCAAAACAGAAGGAAATTAAAATTAAATATTTTAAAGAGTTAACCTCACATTTGCCATTTAACTTGATAAAGCCATTTGGGTGTAACACAAAATACATTTGCCATAGATATGAAATAGATGTAGAATAAATTTTACTTTCCTGAACACAGCATATTCATGCATTATCGTAATGTATATATTATGGCCTTTCAAAAAAGCTGATTATCTTTGGTATAAATTATTCTATTTACTGTTTAACCTGTGTACTTATTATCAGTGAATGATTTATAGGGGGGGGCAGGTGCACAGGGGTGCTCACCCATCTATGTTCTGGTCAACACGGTTACATTTAGGTGTGCCAAAACGGTATTTCTTATTACTTTTAGGTTTTAAAGAACTCACAAAGCCAAGGTTCCCCCTATAAAATCCATGCTTAATCCAGCTTTGGTTAATATAACATATGTATTGCCGCTATTTTTTACGAAGTTTTAAACTGTTTAAATGAACGCATAAGTCAACTGTTCTGTTATCCGTGTCAGAACGAAAACAGCTGCAGTTTGATATAAGTATAAAAATAAGTTAAAAACAGTTAAAATAAGTGTTATTTTGACACCCATGATTTTACAAGGAGAGTGGTGCAGAAATAACGCCCTTTATAAATTATTGTAACTCTTGCTAATGGTGTTAATTTAACACCAACCACTTAACACCAAAAAACAGTGTTACTTTAGCACCTTTGTGGCAGAACAAGGTGCTATTTCAGCACTATTAATTAGGTGTTAAAGTGTTGAGGTGTAAATTTGACACGCTACAATATGTTTAAGGTCATATGTTGTTAAATCAACACCAATATTGGTGTTATAATAACACCTTTTATTTAACACCACCGGTGGGTGTCAGTTTAGCACTAGAGAAAGTGCTAGTTCAACACCTCAAAAATAACAGTGCACTAAAAGTTATTAGAATTAAAATGTTTAAGCAACCATTTTATTATAACATCAATATATAGAACCAAGCAGTATGTTTAGTGCAACAGAACAGAATGAGAATAATTATTAGAAATAGGATGTTAGTTCATAAGGGCTTTAACCAAAGTCTATAATCAACTATCTTATTATGTTAAATGTAGATATGATCTTCGCACTTTGTTATACAATTTAAGCAATCGTCTCATGAGCCTGAAAAATTCAGGTGACTCAATTCAGGTGACTTTGTTGGTACTGCACCGGCACGATTGCTTAAATTGTCCAACAAAGTGCGAAGATCATATCTGCATTTAATTTTGAACACCGCACTGCATAGAACATTCTTTCGTATTTCATTATGTATTATCATTACTGACAGTTCCTACATCATAATTCTTAAAGTACGGACCAACCGAAACGGTAAATAACATATTTATTTTTCATTTTTATAATGAAGAAATTCACTTTGTAAAATGGCCGATGGCTCGATGCAACTTGATGTTGAGACTAAAATTGGATTGTTTTCTTCAAACTTCCCTTCGTCTAGATGGTAAGATTGATTCTTGCTATGATAACTTTTATCTAAAAACACTTTGCTTTCTGAAAATATATCTAAAGATAGAAAATACCATAGTGAATGGTAAAAGTAATATATAAAGTTGATATAATAAGTTATTATAAACAATTGTTGAACGGAGGAATAATGACGATAGGTTGAAATGTTTGATACGCAAAAGTTATGGTCACATTGATTCTGCTGCACCACATGTAACAAATCTTTCATCATATCATCTTTCTCCGGTTGAAATAGATGTTTTGTCTAGCGGTCCAAAGTTTGAAGTTCCACCTAGTAAATTGAAAACAGAGGACATATTTTCAGAATTTGAAATATTTAGGTCACAGTTAGGAAAGTTTCAACCACGTTTGGTATCGAAGCAGTGCCTGGCTTTAAGAGCAAACTGTCAAGCCTTACGCACACTTATTCGGAGTGTAAGTTTGATTCCAAAGAATTTTCTCTAACGAAAGAACATATGATTGCGCTTTTTAATTTGAAGAAGAATAAGTATATTGTAATTTGTAAACCAGAAAAAGGCTCTGGTGTAGTGATTTGAGATAGGGAGGACTATAATAGCAAAATGCTAATGATTTTATAAGACGAGAAAAAATTTTGCAAGCTTGGCAAATTGCCAAATTGCGATAAAACCTTTTGAATAGAAAGGAGATTACAAACACTTCTCTTAGAATTAAGAAAGTCAAATCAAATCAGTGAGAATTTTTGTAATTTAGTTCGCCCAACCGGTGCAAAAAGACCACGTATGTATAGATTACCGAAAATCCACAGAGGGAGCTCTACTCCGACCAATTCTTGCCATGATTAACTCAGCTCATCATAAGTTAACTAAACAACTGTCAGTTGTATTTTCACCTGCTTTAGAGAAGTTCTCAATGCACACTTTTAAAGACTCATTTACTTTTACTAATCAACTCAAACAAATAGATCTTTCTACTCATCCTAATCTGACAATGTGCTCTTTTGATGTAACCAATCTTTATACAAATGTTCCCTTAGAAGAAACCATCGAAATCTGTGTTGATAATCTTTTTCACTCGGACATAGCTCTACCAAACTTGTCCGAAGAGGCTTTTAGAGAATTAATGTTAGCGGCCACTAGATACTTTGAGTTTAGTTTTAATGATATCAAGTACAAACAAATTGATGGGGTGGCTATGGATTCTCCTCTTGGACCAGTACTTGCTAATATTTGCGTAGGCTATTATGAGTGTAAGATGTTTGCCTCTTCTGGGCCTCCAGAATTGCTGTGGTACAAACGTTACGTTAACGACACCTTTTTCCTTTTTTGTAATGACAAAAATCTCCAATTAATTTTACATAAACTCTGTTCTCTTCACCCTTCTTCAGAAAAGATTTCTTTAGTAAAGTGTTTAACACTTAGACCGTCATAAGAGGAGTTCATTGAGGGCGATATCAACTCATTGAAAAAGATATTTCGCTCAAATGGATATCCGGAAAAAATGCTTGACAAACTTTTCTCATCCACAAAATATGAGCAGAATAGGCCTTTTCGACCAACTAAAAACCCTGTGTTTATCAAACTTCCATGGATGGGTAAGGCCTCTGATGATATTGATATTGAAATGGGAACTAAGAATCGTACGGAGAATTTTTTTTTTGCGAGCAATGTTATCTTTCTGTTTTCGAAAAGAACTATTCTACCACTCACCCTAAAACAATCTCTACCGGCACAACTTTTGAGCAATGTAATTTATGAATATAAATGTGAGTGTGATGGTCGCTATGTAGGTAGAATGTCTCAAAGGTTGGGTGATAGGATCAAACAGCATGTACCAACTTCAATCAGAAATGGAATGGTCCCCTCAAGACAAAAACCAAAACGTGATTGTAAGAAAAGAAATTTAGTTTCATGTGACTCCGCGATAGGTAAAGATCTCTTGAACAACTCCCATCTCAGACGAAAATTTTAGAATCATTAAGATATGCCGTTCATTCTTTTAGTTACGTGTCATGGAGGCTGTTTCAACTAAGTTGACCAATTAAGTTGCCGTCCTCTGCCGACAAAAGGATTATGTTTTTAATTTATCCCTGTTTTAAGCGTCTTCTCCCCTTTTGGAGATGACGTACACTCTTTCTTGGCATTATAAATATCAGTAGGTTGTAAATTTTCAATTAGCAGACGTTGACACCTGAGGAGTAGTCTGACGAAATGCATGCCACAGCAGCCAATGCCTTTCACTACTGTTAATAATGATACTGTTTGTTATAATTACCAGTGATGTTTAAGTTAAGTTGGGTTCAATGACAAATTTTATAGACATTATAGAGTTGAAATATTGAAAATGACGGAAAAAAATCTTAACAACTCTCTAAAATTTAATAACTCTTTCTAAGCCATCTGACTTGTATGATGCATGTTTTAAACGTTTGCTGTGACCTTGAGTGTCAATTTTAAATATATAATCTTTGATTTTATGCTGCCGCACTGACGTTTTGAATGAATGTATAACATCTGCCATGTTCACAATGACTATGTTTCTTGTTGCATTTTTGATTTTTTGGTGCTGTTAGAAGAGTGATAGTTTAAATGATTATTGAAGATTAAATAGATGATGAATCTAATGTCTGCTATTACAATTCTGTTCCTGGACTCAATATATTTTTTTTTGTTGATAACATATTACAAAATAACAACAATAACACGCGTGCACTGTGTGCTCGATCAATTAAAGAGACTTTGCAAATCAATTATTAATGCATGTTAAAAGAAAAGTTGAAATGTTTATTTTAAGTCTACTTTATCTTATATGTTTATTGTTTTTGTTTTATTAAAGAAATAAAAGGTGTTTATTGTTTGTTCCTACTGGCTTATCCTCAGACACGTTTATTGACTTCTCTATCTGGTGCAACCTTCGGTCTCATAAGTACTTAGCATTAATCTATTACTTTATGGTTTTTGTGTGTGGATGGCCTGATCCTAACAATTAGGAATTGAGCAAAAGCTTATTTTCGCATGTTTTTCTTAAAGTCAACCACGGGTGCAGTCTGCTACATACATGTGTAATATATTTTTGCCATATCCACGAAGTTTTATTGACTCATGGAAATAAACCATAACTTTTAACAGCAAATAACGCTTAGTATAATGCACCAGTAAAATTAACATAGTGAGGCATTAAAATTTCCCAATAAATTAATGTCTAAAGGTCGTCTTTTATATACATCCAGGGTGCTTTCTATTAAAAAAACTCTGAAATTTTTTTTAGAAAATGAAGTAAAACATTATTCTGGGTGGAACGATATTTCAAAAATTTCCATCCTGAAATAGGAAATTTTGAAAATTTCAAAATCTCTACCTTTCTTTTGCAAGTTTTTACGTGCTTGTTTCTGGTCATTCAAATGTCAACCTTTACGTATACTAAAATAGTGGCTCCTTGGTGGTACTCTTGAATGAGAGTATAAATGAGAAAGCACATATTTTAAATGGTATTAAATGATTCTTCACTCATAAAATCCATCTACTCAATTTAAAGTACTCCGCTTGAAAATTAAGATAGTTTTTATCCACAATCACAGAATTGTTAAAATGAACGTTTTGCAAAAAAAACCTGCAAAGCTGCTAAAATATTTTGCCATTTAAATTAAGTATTTATTCCACAAGCCTATCTTCGTTGGACCTAATGATTGGATCGTTCCACTTTCACATTGAATATTTCAGATATGGAACGTGGTTTGTTTGGTGACACCCTGTTTCGGTATAATGTATACATACATGTCTGTAAATGTAGATCGTCCAGGTTGGTATAGTACTGAAGAAGGACTGTTTTTGTTTTTGTTGACTGACGTTTCGACAACCTTAGCGGTAGTCATCTTCAGAGTCATTTTTTGACTTCAAAAAATATTAAGCTTTTCTATTACATGTAGCCTTCCATCTATTATAGTTCCATGGTTTACCAAATGGCATCATTATGGTTGACATGGTAACTGGGAGAATAAATGGCGAATCACTATCCAACCAAGCCATCACCTTGTCATCTGTGTAAAGATCTATGAAAAAGCTGCTCCATAACTAACGATTATAATCAGGTTCTCTGTGCTGACCTGGAAAGTTCAAAACCATCGGATTATTGGGTAGCGGCTCGTATACTTCTTTGAAAGTTTGATTAGGGAAATATTCTTTTGTCTGATTGAATATTGTTACACCAAAGGAGTGATCCTCTTCTGATATTTTATCAAGTACAAGAACCATGTTACCCGGCCATCCTGTACAGAACAGAGAGATCGTCTGGAGTTGCGTTCATTCCGGAGCAACTTTACTCTGCTGTGGTAGTAGTATGAAAATTTATGTGATACGTTAAGTTGTCGTGTGAATATTTAAATCCAATGCGCTCCGCTTTGACTACAAAGCTCATACAATTTTTCAAAAATTAATGAAACATAGTGATACAAGTTATGTTTTCAATAAGTAATCCTCCAGAAAATATAATATATCTTCAGCAAGGCATGTTTAAGCTTCAGCGAGGCATGCCTTATCATAGTGAGAAAAGTTTCTTTCTAGTATTATTGTAACAGCAACATATATTCGGTCGTATTTGGACTTTATACTCTTCCAGTCCATACGGCCATACGCGTACAAAAGGACACGAAAAAATTAATACGCACAAGAAATATCTCTACTTTGTTATCCATAAAAATTCTCTTTTCCTTACGAAATACTTGAGCTATCGCTGTTATTGCTTGCACTTTACAAGGACTGGGGCGAATAGAAAATTATGTAGCATCGTGAGCAGTGCTGCCACTCTGTGTATGCACATTTCACCTACCAAAACTTTATTTTTTCCTTACCACTCCCAACGATGATTTTCCTTGTTCTCCCTTACTTTTACCCTACACAGTAACATATCCCCCCATTGTATACCTACGTCGGGTCAGACCAGTGAATTTTTTAGCCTGTTTTTAAAAAATGCATACAAAAGTAGATTCATTGAAAACTAAGAACATCTAGACGACAAAGTTAGTAATTTGGCGTAGGAAGTAATGACATGCAGCTGGCGCAAATGACACACTGAGTTGCTGATCTTCTATTGCCATATATGGTCATGAAATCTGCCAAAAGAAAGATTCTGTTACAAACACTAGCTAAGTGGAAGAACACAGGAAGAAAAGAGTATTTTGGGCAAAATGAGGCTCCTTTTAAGTGATTTTATTTTTCCATACAATCCTTCAATTTACAGTTTCCCCGTAGGTGTCAATTTTTGAATATATATTCTTTAATATCCTATTGCCGCATTGTCTTTTTGAAAAAACATTTAAGATTTACTCGATGAAACTAATGTCGGCCATTACTATGCTGTTGCTGAACTCAATTTTTTTTCATGTCTTCATTCGTTATTTACTAAATAAAAACAATAAAATGCGCATGCTGATTGTCTCACGGGATAGCTGAGTTTTCATTGGCCTTTGCCAAACGATTTTTCTTCATCAATCAAATCAATTAAAGAGAGTTTGCAAATCAATCATGAAGCATTTTAGGAAAAAAATTAAGCGTTTGTTTTAAATTTATCTTTTTTGCATTATTGTTATTTTATAAAAAACGTAAAAGATGTGTCTCGTGTTTGCACTGGCTTATGCAAAAATAGGAGACGTTTGTGAGAACTCTCGAGCATGTGCAACCATTGATCTGCTCTCGAGTTCTCCCAAAGGTCTCCATGGTTTTGAATAAGCGTGCAAAAAACATAGTAAATATCTTTTACTTCTTAAGTAATGTGCATTTATTAATTTCTTCATGGTGTCTGCCTTTGGATGCCTGATCCATACACGCGGGAATTAAGTGAAGGCTTGTGTTTCGCGTATTTTTTCCAATGAACGCTTTTCCTTTTTTTTACTCTACAACGTACATGTACCTCGTTGCGATAACTTCCCTCTTGTCCAATAATAACTGGGCTTCAGGACAAGCCATATTTTTAAAAACAAAGGGCGAATGAAAAAGAAGACTGTCATAAAGTAGATCTTCTCACGTACTTTGATAATTTGCATAAATTCTTGCCAGATATTTGCCTCACTATAATACATATCTTCGTTGCAAGCACAAAAGTTGTTTTTTGCTCCAAGGAATTTAAGACAATATCAAAACATGCACAGGAATGAATCAGTAGGATTAACATTATGATCGAAATTATCACAATAGGTTAATATGTCACTTTGGAGTCACTTTTTCAGGAAGACAACGTATAATGTATATTAAAATC